GGGGTCCCCTCGGTCCGTTCGCCCGGTGCGACCGCACCAGTTGCACCCCCCTAAGGACGGCCCTGTATATACCATTGTGGTAATATTTTACAATATTACTGCCTTTATTGTATTTTTGATAAAATAATTGCAATCTTGGTGAGCATACAAGACTTATTTCAAAAACATGAACAAATCTTACAGTATCAACCCCAAATTTGTTTAACAGAATGTATTTATTTATTTAGTCAGTTTTTTGGTGAATTTTTCCTATCATATCTCTTCTTGTCTTTGCCCTTTTCAGTGTAACCCTCATGCAGAGCAGCTCTTCACAAACCGAGGTCTGATCCAGCAGTTCATGGGAGATAAAGCTAGTGCCATGAAGAACTACCAGACCGCTATCAGCCTCAACCCTGAATATTCCCTCACTTACTTCAACGCTGCCAACCTCTTCTTTTACAATGGACAGTTTGAGCAGGTAAAACCAGAGGCAATTCGGTACTGACTCTCTTGAGACTCTTGAGACGAGAGTCGCTGAGATATATAGTGAGTCTCATTTTTTCTGCGACACAGGCATGTGAGTACTACAGCCGAGCTTTTGAGCTGGACCCCTCAGATGAGTCTGCCATCCTGAACCGAGCCATCACTCACGCTCTGCTGCGGAAGGTCCCAGCATCCCTGCAGGATTTCAATGAGGCTCTCTGCCTCAACCCGCTGTCTGCACATGCCTACTTTAACAGAGCCAACCTGTACTGCTCTCTCAGACAGTTTCAATCAGCCGAGAGGGACCTTACGCAAGGTGAGCCGTAGCAGACTGAGTTCACTGCCACCTTTTATTAAAGGAGCAGTATTCAACACTCATGTACCATTATGTCCCCTGAAGTCAATTTATACACTACCAGTCAAAAGTTTGGAAGAATTCAGATCTTTTGGGGTTTTGAAAGAAGTCTCTCATGCTCGAGGCTGATAAAAACAGTAATATTGTGAAATATTATTACAATTTCAAATAATAGTTTTCTGCTTTAAAATGTAATTTATTCCTGTGATCAAAGCAGAATTTTCAGCATCATTACTCCAGTCTTCAGTGTCAACTGATCCTTCAGAAGCCATTCTAATATTCTGATTTGATGCTCGAGAAATAAATACTTTATTCAGTAAGGGTGCATTCATAATAATAAAAACAGTTATTTTAAATTGTAATATTTCACAATATTACAGTTTTTTACTGTATTTTTGATCAAATAGCTTTCAGAAACAGTAAAAATTGTAATTATTTAAAACTTTTGACTAGAAGTGTATATGTCATTTAATGATTTTTGCACTAAACATTCTCATTACCATTTTCCATGTCTTTTTGTCCAGTAGTATAACACAGGCTGTATTTGTTACTTATTCTTTGTAGAGGCAAAAACTAAACTAACTTTTGTTTTTAATTCTATTTTTATTTGTATTTCAAGCTGACATGAGAAAGATAACCTTATTGCAACTAATTTGGTAGTACGCAGATATCACTAATTCTCCTATGAATACTGAAGGTCACATTAATCATCATGCAGCGTGTCGTGAGAGAGCAAGACCAAAAGCTGACTACAGAGTATATTGTGTTTCTTGATTTCAGTGGCGTATATATAGAAAGGTTATTATGTTCCAACTTTGAAGCTTCCTGATATTAATATGCCAATAATGATTCATCACTTTACAGGGAGATTTGTACATCATGCCGACTTTCAATGTCATCTGCACTTAATTCTGTCTGATAACACTGGCTGATCTCTCTGTGGAGGGCTTTTGTCAAGATGATGAATGGAGAGCTGGTGAAAAGATAGCAAAGTTGTCTTTATCCTCAACGAATCCAAACAGTCATACACGTGCTAGTCTCAGTCTTATACAGCATGCAGTCAGACCTCCCACAAGTCCACTCATTGACCGTCTGATACAAATTGCACACTGAAATCATTAGCTGTAAGATTTTTGAACGTTTTTGAAAGAAGTCTCTTATGATCACCAAGGCTGCGTTATTTGATCAAAAATACAGTAAAAACAGCAATATTGTGAAATATTATTACAATAAAAAATATCTATTTTCTGTTTTAATGTATTTTAAAATGTGATTTATTTCAGAACTTAAATTTCAGCATCATTACTTTAGTCTTCAGTGTCACATGATCCTTCAGAAATCATTCTAGTTTGCTACTCAGGAAACCTTTTTTATTATTATCAATATTGAAAGCAGTTGTGCTGCTTAACATTTTTATGGAAACTGTGATACTTTTTTTTCCCAGGATTCTTTAATGAATAGAAAAAGCTCAAAATAGCTGTATTTGATTGAATCTTTTATACATGAACTTTTGTAGCATTATAAATGCCTTTGCTGTAGTGTAGAACAGACTTAACACTCAAGAGTCCAAAGACTGACTTCATTAGTGTGTGTGTGTGTGTGTGTGTGTGTGTGTGTGTGTGTGAGGCAGATGAATGCTTTCAGCACACACTTTCACACACAAGAGCATGATGGGTTTGGCCACATGACTGCCTGGGAAAAAGAAAAAAGACACAGAAGGAAAACAAATGCAGCAACCGTGTACTGCTCTACAACTAGAGACAGGTGGTTACTATGGTTACAGTGTAAACCAATTATAGATTTCCTCTTGGCAGGCTGCATATTTATGAAGTCAAACACAAGGATGTGCAAGCATTTCTGATATAAAAAAACAGTGTTTCTCAGAGCCCCTCCGCCTGCGGCTGAAACAGGTGGGATATTAGGAAACAGATGGCCCTCGGTATCTAATGAGTATGTTCTCCGTGAATGGAGTAATCACTTGCTATTCCAGCGTACGCTTTCAAACAATCTAATTTTGTTAGCCGTAAATAGACACATTGAACACTTATCCTATAAGCCCTAAAAATGAGTTTTTCTACATTATCTCACTCAAATCAAGGCCTTTACATGTGCGAGCTCTTTGAAGCAAAACAACGTCTGTAAAGGTACCAGGCGAGCAATGGTAATTTATGCAAATGCAGATGGCAAATTGCTCGCAAATTGTCCCTCTTGTGTGAACTAAAAAGTAGATGTCCTCCTATTTGCTGTCTCTCGCAGCCTGATGTTTCAGTCACGAATAAGCACTGGGTGATGTGTGCTAGCCTAATATTAACATCAGTCTCTCTGTGAGAAGAACAGAGCTGAGAGACGAAGTGTGAACAAAGCTGTTGTGGTGAAGACAACACAAATAATGCTACACCTATCTGTGTAAACAGGAGACAGATTCATAAATGCTGGGGAAGGTGAGAGTGGCATTTTGCTCTAACATATCTCTGTGTGTGTGTGTGTGTGTGTTTCCTGAAGCTCTGATGCTGCAGCCTGGAGATGCTCTTCTCTATAAACTGAGGGCTGATGTTCGGGGTCATCTGGGATGGAAGGAGCAGGCGCTGGACGACTACAGAACGGCGGTGGAGCTTCAGGACTCGAGATGCTGCTCAGGGTTGGAGAATGATCAAAATGAGATTTTTGCTTCTTAGATTATTATAATTCGCTAATGCAATACAGTTGTTGAACATTTTTGTCTTCATTTTGTTGCATGCACTCAGTTTAAATTTGTGAAATGTGAGAATGTTTGAAACTACATTAAAGAAATAATTGAATGTGTGGAAAACCAAGATCCAGATTGACAATTTAATTTGATTGTTTTTTCCATCATTATGATTCCATCATATATCGTTCCATCATAACGATTCCATCGTTATAATACTCTACTAAATTAAAACATAGTTTTTATTCTTTATTTCTTATTCTACACCAGACAAATATCATTAGCAAATGTTAAATAATATAGTAATTTTAATTGTAGTTTTTTATTAGTTTTTATTTATTTAAATGTATTTTTTTAATTTTAGTTTAATTTTTTATATATTAAATTAATTTAATAATAAATTAGTTTGTAGCTAAATTCAAGAAGAATAAGTATATCATCTTTATGTTGAAAAAGCTTCATTGCATTAAAAATATTCTTCAATTTAATTCATATTTTATAACATTTTATTTTGAGTGAATAAGCCATGCTTATTAAAACATGGTTTGTTGTCGGTAAGATTTTTTAGGGTTTCTAAAAGAAGTTTCTTTAGCATACCAAGGCTGCATTCATTACATACAAAGTACAGTAAAAACAAAAATATTGTGAAATTGTATTACTATTTTAAAAAACTATTTTCTATTTTAATATATTTTATAATGAAATGTATTCCTGTGATGCAAAGGTGAGTTTTAAGCATCATTACTCCAGTCTTCAGTGTCACATGATCCTTCAGAAGCCATTGTAATATACTGATTTCCTGCTCAAAACATATTTCTTATCAATGTTTTTTTTTGTGAAAAAAATTGTGATACATTTTTTAGGATTATTTTTTAGTATTCTTTGAAAAACAGCATTTATTTGAAATAAAATCTTTTGTAACATGATGAATGTTTTGGGGTCACTTGTTGATCATGTGTCCTTACTGAAAAAAGTATTGATTTCTTTAAAAAAAAATCCTATGACCTTAAACTTTAGAATAGACTGCATAAGAGCTGCTTTGCTTTTTCTTTTCTGTCAGCCAAGAAGGTCTAAAGTACCTGCAGTTTCTCATTCATCAATAGCAGATGGTCGGCTGATTCATGCAGCTCAGAAGTACACAACCTGGATGCCGCCATCTTCACTTCATGGACAGGCAGTTTTATTCACTGGTGAAACATCTACTATGTTATAATGAATTGTTTGCAATTGCAGTTTACATTTTTGAATGATCATAAATGGAGAAAGATGTTTTTTATTCCACAAGAGTTTTAGTGCAGACTGTACATTTAGCAATTAAATATCACAATAGCAGAAGTTTAATACTTAGGGTTTAGATCGGATTTTAACCAGAATGAGATATTTGTTCATTAGATGTAATTATTTTGGTAATTACCAACTGTTTTAATTGTGAAACAATTAATTTGCTGACTAAAATTAAATCAAATGTCTAAATAATGAATGTCTTTTAATAAGCAGCCTAACAGCCAGACAGCTGTATCTACCTGATGTCTGAAATCATATTTGCCCTGAAGAAGTCAGGTCACTTCATATAACACCGGGCAAAGACTCTTAACTAGATGGAAAGAGAGAAACACCTGCTGAATGATCTGGCTCTTCTCCAGTTCAGAGAGAGAGAGAGAGAATCTCAGAAAGAAGAGTGTGAAGACAGCCATCTGCTCCTCACATGTTGTGCTCTGACTGGGCTCATTACATTTCAAGGACAACACAAGTCTCCATCTGTGAGAAAAAATGAGGTATCACTCAAATTCTGACAAAAGTGTTTCAGGTTTTTGCTATTCTTATATCCTATTTTCAAGGTGTGAGCATTTTGAGATGGAGTGTATTAGCTTGGTAGCGAAGAGGGTAAACTTATTTCAGGTGTGAAATGGTTCTTACCAGCTGTCTTGTTAAATGAATAGAATATTGTGGGCATGTTACAACATACTGAAATTCTTCAAACTTTAATTAGAGTTGTTTCCCCCGAAAATGTCCTTAGTCTGAGACTTAATTTTTTTTTCAAACACTTTCAAGCGACATCCACCAAACTCAGCACCTGCAGTCTCCTCTGACATAATGTGTTATATGTTTTCTTACAAATCATATGGATGACAAATTGTGTTGTCACTTTAGATAAAAGCATCTGCTAAATGAATAAATGTAAATGTTTGGGGGGAAAATCCTATTGACTACATTTGAAAAACTGCAATCCCTCTTAAAGTTACATTCACCAAAGAGGCATAGTGTAATGCAATGCAAAAACTTTTTTCAAGGACTCAAGTTAATAATTTGTTATTCATTGTTTTTATGTACTGTATGTATTTATTTATTCATTGGGCATTTAGCATATTACTTTTCCCCAGTTAAAGCTGAACTAGATGCAACAGGCTCTATTTACATGTGCATTTAAGTATAATTGTTCATCTATTTATTTGTTTATTGTATTTACACACATTCAGAGATGCTTCTAAATGTGGTGAATCAGAAACCTGGTATTTTTGCCTAAACTATATAGTCCCTCAAACAGCATTCGTTTTAACTGAAGCTGGATTATTTCCTTTAGCTTTGCATCCATCACTAGGTGGTGCCAGAAATAAGCACAGATGAGCTTTCTCTTCACACTCACGGGTGCTTTGTTGTTATTATAAGGCATTGTGCAGTACAAGAAAACTATATAAAGACTATGGCAACGGTCACAAAAGATGCCCATATCAGGGTTCAACCGAATGACTCCAGATTCAAAATACAAAAGCTTTTCATTTGTTCCGTGGACCTTCTGTAAAAGCCCTTTCTTTGTCGTAGGATGAACAACATGTTTTATTCCATTTTAGAGGGAAAGTGCATGAAAAATTGCTATTAATTTTAAACTCACCTGAGTGTGAAAACTAAGACTACCTGTTTTAGCCCTAAAAAAGAGCATCTAGTCTGTGTGACTGCTTGCAACTCATTGCAAAGGCATGGGTTGGGTTTCTAATAAATATAATCATAAACAAAATTATTTCTAGAACAGTCCTGTGACAACGTCGAGGACATGACCGTAATGAAATCTCCTCCAGAGACGCAAAGGTCAGTTTTATTTTCTCCTTTTTTCCGCATTTGAAGATCCAAAAATCCAAAGCAAGAAAAAGGAGTAAAAGCAAATCAAGCTGAGTGTTGTTTTAAGTTACCGGAGGCAACAAGAAATACAAAATGTATGTAAGGACTTCTAGTCCTTGTATGTGTTGCTTTGTTTGATATTAAAAATGTCTGTTTTTATGATATTGAGTTAATACTGACATTGAAAAGAAGGTCTAGGTGTCGTCAAGTCAAGAAACTATTTTTGTTTCTCAGACACGCTCACAAACCCATTAGGAGCCGATGGCGTCACGTTGCACGTGTGACGTCTGTGAATGTGATGCATGTGGATGTGGAGTAACTGTCCATGGTGCTGAAACCGCCGCAGCGTCGGGATGCGCCTTCCATTTTCTGAGCGCGTATTTATACACTTGAAATCCACAGAAAGGCTCAAAACAGTGTCGGAATGCTGCCCAACGACACCTTCAAGAACCTGGAGGATGGTTTCTATCTGTTAAACTTCTCCAGCAACGAGACGCATAACGGGGATTCTCACGGCAGCAGCGCGATCTTCATCTCCTTCATCTATTCCGTAGTGTGTCTGGTGGGACTCTGTGGGAACTCGATGGTGATTTATGTGATCTTCAGGTATGCGAAGATGAAAACTGCGACGAACATCTACATTTTGAACTTGGCGATCGCGGATGAGTTACTCATGTTGAGTGTGCCTTTCCTTGTCACCTCTTCTTTACTTCACCACTGGCCCTTTGGTTCTCTCCTGTGTCGATTGGTTTTAAGTGTTGATGCCATTAACATGTTCACCAGCATCTATTGTCTGACTGTGTTGAGTATCGATCGCTACATCTCCGTGGTGCATCCCATCAAAGCAGCCCGGTACCGGAGACCCACCATCGCCAAAATGGTCAACTTGGGGGTCTGGATGTTCTCCATTCTGGTCATCCTACCCATCATCATCTTCTCCACCACTGCACCCAACTCTGACGGATCGGTGGCTTGCAACATGCAGATGCCTCAGCCCGAGCGTCAGTGGATGGCTGTATTTGTGATCTACGCCTTTCTGATGGGCTTTCTCTTCCCTGTCATTGCCATCTGCATGTGCTACATCCTCATCATAGTGAAGATGCGGGTGGTCGCCTTGAAAGCGGGCTGGCAGCAGCGCAAAAAGTCCGAGAGGAAGATCACGCTGATGGTGATGATGGTGGTGACGGTGTTTGTGATCTGCTGGATGCCTTTTCACATCGTGCAGCTGGTCAGCGTATTCGTCCAGCAGCACAATGCCACCCTCAGTCAGCTGGCTGTGATTTTGGGATATGCCAACAGCTGTGCCAACCCCATCCTGTACGGATTCCTGTCGGACAACTTCAGACGCTCCTTCCAGAGGATTTTGTGCCTCCGCTGGTGGGATAACGCCACGGAGGAGCCCATAGATTACTATGCCACGGCTCTGAAGAGTCGAGGATACAGTGTGGATGACTTTCAGCCGGACAATCTGGAGTCGGGCAGCACGTACAGGAATGGCACCTGCACATCTAGAACTACAACGCTGTAGGACTCGGTATTACAGCATAAAGACTTTTGTTATCTGTTGTCATTGCAGTATGTGTTTTGTGTTGAAATGTATTGGTAAGACTTCATAATAACGTTCGTTAATGCCATTATTAGCTTATATAATGCTTAATCAGAAGTTAATGTGCATTTTTGCCTGTAAATGAATGTGCATGAACTTTTTATGCACATTATATAATGCTTTGAATGGCTTATTAATGAAAGTTATTATAAAGTGTGTCGATATGGGAAAAATGTGACGTTCAGATAAAAAAAAACAAAAAAAAACAAAAAAAAGAAATATCCAAAGCCAAATATTTAGTTGTTTATTTTGAAATGGAATAAAACCTGGGGAAATCATTCACTCTCAGTGTATTATGTGGTAAAATTTGTATTTTCCTAAGGAAGCTTGCAGTGCTTGCAAAGCAGGAACAAAACAGTGTTACAGGTTTTGGATTTTATGTTTTGGTTCAGTGTGT